TAGAAAAAGGGAATTTAATTGCTACTTCTTGTGAAGTAGGTTAATCATTCAAAAGTTTTAAACAACTTATAATAGCTAGGCAGGGGAATCTGTATTTCAGTGACATTTTCTCATGAGGCAAACAATACAATTCATTTGATTATAATGGAATTTATTGACTAGTCAGACGTAACGAACAAACAAACGCACAAACATATATTAAACACAAAACAAAGGTAAACCACATGGAGATATCGGGTCTATAGAACGTGTAACAGCAAAGAGAAATAGTAAAGCTAGGAAATATAGATTTCCGATAAAAGAGTGAAAAAAACTTTCAGTTCCACACGCACCATTACGGACCACCAAGGTTATAAAAAACACCTTTTTGATAAAAGGGGCACAGCTTAATCGCATAACTAAAATCACCTGGTCTTTCATGTCTGGAGGTCTCTTTTATGCGTCTCTCTTCCGTCGTGATGAAACTCCTTTTAATGTCCTTCTTGATGCGTGGAGTTTGTAATGCAGTTCGGACGAACACGATCGCAAACTTTAAAATTGAGTTTACTTTTGCCGGAAAATAAAGAAAACGTGGCGGGAAAGTCCATGCGGCTGTGAAGAGCCGTGTGGCCCTTAAAGGGACCACCGTCAATGATGTTCCTTTTTCGGACGTTCTATTTCTGCGCAGATGTTTGGCAAAAGGTCTGGTTATACCTGCGGGTCACGTGACAACCCGTTCAGCATTCTGACCAATGGTTTCAGGGGAAAGTTTGCGCGCGAACCTTCCTTTGTCTCGGGGCTGCTCGTATGCAAATTTGAGTGTCCGCCTAAAGCATGCGGACAGGCATTTAATACAGGGCTTTAAAGAATAAAGCAATGCGAGTTATGGTCTTGCTCTATGCATCATGTGTTGTAAAATGTCAGCAGAAACCCATCGGTACCAAACATGGGGGGGTTTAAAGTACATCAACCTAATTTTTCATATCCTTACAATATTTATGCTTTACAAAGGCCTAAAGGGAACATGCATACAGGTTTTAAGAGAGGTTACACAGGTAGGAAAAGTCAGAAATGAGATACAAAGTTTACAAAACATAACACATTGGTTTTGTGCTGGTTCAGGATTTGATGAGTTCATTTTCTTTCTGTCGGAACAGCCTTGTGTGTGTGTGTGTATATTTGGGCAGGAATGTGTTTGAAGTGACAGACTCAGTAATCCAGGGACACTGAAGAGATAAGTCTAGCGGGGGTACCCAGACTTTGTGGAGCCAGGAGTCGTAAAACCGTTCTGTCGACCAAAGCCAGACCGTGATAAAATCAATAAGAAATTTTATCTATGGACTGTACGCTACAGGATCATCAGTGTGCAATGAAGCAGGCTGTCATTTTGTGGAGGACTTAATTAAAGAGGACAGAGAAGTGAGACAAGTGCTTTGACCACGCATTAAACAAGCTCAGCAGAAGGGAAAGTGGTGTACTTTCGGGGTCCATTTGTTTTCATTGAGGGAAAGCAACTTTTTCAAGGATGATGAAAGGTTTGAATAAGGGAAAAGCTGATTATTAAGAGACTTTTTTTGCATTGCAAGTTTTTTTCCTTCTTACGATCTATACGCTACAGAAAAATCCAGCCTAAACCAGCCTAGGCTGGTTGGCTGGTTTTAGCTGGTCGACCAGCCTGGTTTTAGAGGGGTTTTGGCCATTTCCAGGCTGGTTTCCAGCCATTTCCAGCCTGGTCTTAGCTGGTCAGGCTGGGAGAAGACCAGCTAAAACCAGCTTGACCAGCCTAGCCAGGCTGGGAGTCCAGCCAAAACCAGCTATGTCCAGCTTAAACCAGGCTGGTCAAGCTGGTTTTAGCTGGATTTAGCTGGTCATTTTCCAGCCAACCAGCTGGATTTAAGCTGGATTTTTCAGCAGGGTATAGACTATGCTGTGATATTTTTTCTTTGTTCACTTTGAATTCCAGTGGTATATGTTCTCACAAAAATGTAGTTTATCTTTTTGTTTACTGAATGCAAGGGGTCTAAAGGACAAAGTAAAACGGAAAGCTATATTTTTGTTTGCTAAGGGGAAGAAATCACAGTTTGAAAATGGGTTTTTCAAAAGAAAAAACGGATTACATAATAGGATTAGATCACGTAATCCAATCTTGGTTTTGATCCAGATCAAACCTTTAGTTTGGGTTTTTCAGACCTTTTTTGTAGGATATAGTTATATATAGTTATATATATATATATAGTTACAAACCCAGTTTTTTTAAGGCTGGTCTAGGGAAGGGGTTAGCGAAATAAAAGGACACAGAAACCAGAAGTACAATTCTCTATTTATTTAGAGACCAGAATATAGGTGTCCTAGTTAATTAAGGTGGCAACAGAAATATAAATCATTAATTAAACAATATCTTAGTCAAAGCAATTACTTCAACAAACAAACAAAACATAAATCATAAAGAAAAATATAGATAAAGTATAAATAATACACAGATCAAAGTAACGCGCACAAGACGCGCACAGAAGTTTCAGACATTCATCAGGGCAAGATACGGAGAGATTCTCAGCAAGTACGGGTTATACTCTCCAAAGACAGACAAGATCGCGAGGATCAGTCAGACGCGCTGGAAAAACAAGAGCCACACCGACACAGACTCAGCTTCGGTTTATAAAGGCGACCAGCCGAATTAGCGGCAGGTGCAAGGCGGAGCCAGCCTCAAAGAAAAGAAAAAGCAATTAGTAAAACAATCTCCACCACAACACAAAATCAGGGATAATAATTATAATAATAATAATAATAATAATAATATAGAAGGAAGACTAAATAAAGAATAAACCATGACAATATATATATATATATATATATATATATATATATATATATATATATATATATATATATATATATATATATATATATTAAGGTTGGAGCCGAACCCGAATACGGTATTCGGAAAGGCACGAATAGCGTGTTTTTACGAATACTTATTTCGAACAAATACTTGAAAAATTATTTTTATTCGGGAGCAAGAAAAACAATATATCAAAAAGCAGCGTTTCCTCATGAGACCGCAGTGCATGCCCGCGTGAGTGAGTGAGTGAGAGAGAGAGAGAGAGAGACGCTCAGTCAGAAGTCGGAGGGCGGGGTGGAGGTAAAAGGTGTCTGGCACAAGCTTCTTCACAGCAACAGAGAAGGCTCGGCTGAGCAAAAAAAATACTTCACTGCATCACTATTTTTGTTAAATACATTTTTGTACCTTAATTGGGTTCCAGATGCAGTTTATAAACTTGTAGCGGAGTTTGATCGGGATATTCCATTACGCTGCATTTTTGAAGTTTGCAATCGGGTGCTCTCTGTTTAAGCAACGTTAGCTCTGTTAGCACAGTAATTTAGACAATAGACTGTTGACAGAGTAACGTTAACATTCGTTTATAAAGGTTAAAACAATGCTTGTGCAGTTGTTTTGAATAATATGCACTTATGGGAGTTATATGGTACGTCTAAATAACTGTCTTTTGCAGACAGCAAGATATATGCTATAGGCTAGTTAACCTTAGCATGGCTTCCCGTCACTTTTTATTAACTTGAAATTCCTCAAATACATTTGGGCACCCAGAAAAAGAGTGAGACTGCTGCTGAGCCATTTCTTGGTCCTCCACCAGTCAAAAAAAAAAAACTTCATGTTATTTGTGGATGCATTTTACAGTCAGTGGTGCTGCAGATAAAACAAAATGATACAGTATAATGTGTGTAAAAGTGAAATCAGCAGAGGCAGAGATATTGAACATCTGTCAACATCTTCTATGCATAAACATTCATTTTCTTTTCGGCTTAGTCCCTTTATTAATCTGGGGTTGCCACGGTGGAATGAACCACCAATTTATCCAGCATATGTTTTACACAGTGGCTGCCCTTCCAGCTGCTACCCAGCACTGGGAAACATCCATACACTCTCTTTCACACACATACAATAGGGACAATTTAGCTTACCCAATTTACCTATATTGCATGTGTTTGGGCTGTGGGGGAAACCGGAGCACCCGAAGGAAACCCACGCCAACATGGGGAGAACCCAGTCAAGGCTCGAACCAGCAACCTTCTTGCTGTGAGGCGACAGTGCAACTCACTGTGCCACCGCGCAACCCTCTATGTAATGTATTATCACATGCACTAAAAGCATCCTCTCCTGAAACTGTCTTTAACCCCCCCACAAGCATCAATCCCTTCATCAGCACAGCTATGTTCTGCTAAATCCTCCACAAGCACCAAACCATCAACACAGCCACATTCTGCCCCAGCAAATCAGTTTCAAACATAAAAAAAGTTAAAAAAAAACAAACTTTGTGTCTGTTTTTTTTCGGCAGGCAGATGACAATAGCAGGACTGTATCTTTTAGAATTATATAGAATACTTTTGTTCTGCCAGTTCTCCCAAGCAGGGTTTTATTTAGATTTATTTTGTTAATTTTAGTTTTTGGAATTCTGTCCATTGGAAAGAAGTTCTTTCAGAAGAAGAACAGTTTTTTGAATTATTATTTGTTTTTATTCTGTCTATTCAGTGTCCTTCAACAAGAACGGTGGTGGTGGGGTTCATAATATTCACAATGGTATTTTATTAGTTGTTGGTTTAACCATGGATGAGGTAATGGCTTCTATGTTATTTTCTTTTCAATGACATTTCTTGTCACATGTTCAAAAACAACAACCAATATTGCATGTCTATAATTTATATAATGGGTATATTTTAAATTTTATTTTTAAATTTTAAAATGATCCATTTTAAATTTTACTCGATTACAAATACAAATACTTTTCCCCCCTCAACAAATACAAATACAGATACAAATACCGGCTGCTCCGCACATCCCTAATATATATATATATATATATATATATATATATATATATATATATATATTCATCACAATGGAAAATATTTTTGTGTTTAGAATAGTTATAAGTGATGCATGCAATGATTACAGAATAACAAAAAAAACTGCAAAGAATGGCAATGCCTGATTTTTGAAATCACTTTCAACAATTGCAAAAAGAGACAGAAGTTTATGGGATGATTTTTGTGCCAATAAGAATGAACGTAACTTTATAAAACTGAACGTAACTTTCCAAGAAACGATCAAAAATATGGCACTGCAAAAGAAGAAAATCACAATGAAAACGAAAAAATGATCTCAGTCGCACGAATTTAACATGCTCTTCAAATATGCTTCATTCTTTGTTAATGATTTTCAAAGAATCGTTTTCGTGAATCATGGATTTTGAATGCGTTGCCACAGCTTTCGCTAACGCTTCGCAAATTTTCGTTTGCTGTTTTGGCATAAACTTCTCGTGGGGGCGGGCTTAACAGCGATCTACTCTGATTGGCTAATGAGCTTTTGATGGACAGTTGCTCTCTGACCTGGAAGCACAGACGGTGACGTCAGTGGAGCGCATATCGAAAAGTTGTTGCGGTGTGCAATACGTCGTGCTTTATGTTAAGTATTAATGTTAGTATTTTACCTACCGTCGGCTCTTTCTAAAGATGACCTCCCGGGAGAAACACGGAGCGGCATCATCTTCCACCTCATCTTGTCCCTCAGGGCAGCTTGAAGTAAGTTTGTGTTGCTAAAGTAACGTTTATCAATAACATCAATAAAAGTTTTTGTAATGTATGTATAGCTTTAAGAACTATGTGATGACATTGAGAGGTAAGGGGTTAATGCGACCCGTGATGCTTTGCGACTTCTTCACATGTTTTCAGCTAGAATAAAGGTGATCCTGTTGCTCTGTTAAGTCAAGTGTGTTCATTAAACTATTACATGGTGTCAGAAGTGCTTGACGAGCACATAGCCTCGGAAGAATGGCTAAATTTAATCCTCCGGAGTGTTTTCCATTTGATCGTCAAACAACTGTAAACAACGTTTTCAGCGTTTTTGGTGTGCTACCAAACTGGATAAAGAAGATAGAGAAGTCCAGGTTAGTTCGTTAATCTACGCCATGGGAAATGAAGCTGAACACATATTTAAATCATTCATCTTTAATGAGGAAGAAGACAAGAAGAAATTTGACGTTGTGTTAGGAAAATACGAGGATTATTTCTTTCCCAAGAGAAATGTGATTCACGAGCGAGCCTGCTTTTACCAAAGAATACAGTGTCCCGGAGAAAAAGCTGAAACCTTTATTAGATCTCTCTATGATTTATCAGAAGACTGTGAGTTTGGGGAACATAGAGAAGACCACATCCGAGATCGGATAGTTGTGGGCATACTTGATAAAGAACTGTCGCGCAGATTACAGTTAATGTCAGATCTCACGTTAGCTCAAACTATACAAAGTGTGCGCCAGTCTGAAGAGGTTGCGCTTCAAGTTCACCAACAGGGGGAGGCGTGCGCAGCAGTTCAAGAGGTGGCGCAGAGGAAAACAGCAGCAGACAGAACAGAAAGTAAATGGACACCTAAAAGAAAAGGCAAAGAGCATGAAGAATCAAAATGTGGACGATGTGGAAAAATCAAACACAAACAAAAAGAAAATTGCCCAGCAATAAGATCGACATGCAATAAATGTAAAAAAGTGGGTCACTGGGAAAAGATGTGTCACAGCAAATCAGTCAGAGAAGTGACAGAGACTGTTGCACAAACACAATATTTCCTGGGTGCTGTTACAAATTCACAAAGAAATGATGAGCAATGGTCAGTGCAAATTTCCATAGGAAAGACACCAGTTAAATATTGATACTGGTGCAGATGCAAACATCATGTGTAAAGAAAGATTTAACATGCTTGATCCCAGAAGAATTCTGGAGCAGTCAAATGTTACATTGTGCCGTCCTGGAGGTCAACTAGAGTGCATGGGGAAATTTCAAGTCAGTACTACATATAAAGAAAATGTGTATACATTCCCTGTATATGTCATCCATGGACAAAATGTGAACAATCTGCTAAGCCGACCGACTGCATCCTCAATGGGGCTAGTGAAACGCATTGAGGAAATACACAATGCATTCGGAGAGCATGGAACCCTTAAAACAGAACCTGTTAAGATCCAGCTTAAGGAAAATGCTCAACCATATGCAGTACACACAGCATGCAGAGTTCCATTGCCTCTTATACAAAAAGTAAAAGAAGAGTTGCAGCGCATGGAAGGAAATGGAGTCATAGAGCCAGTGACAGACCCTACAAACTGGTGTGCACCCATGGTGCCAGTACCAAAACCGAATGGAAAGGTACGAATTTGTGTGGATTTAAAAAAGTTGAATGAGGCTGTAAAAAGAGAAAGATATGTTCTTCCAACTGCAGAAGAGATAATTGCAAAGTTAAGTGGTGCTACAGTCTTCTCGTCTTTGGATGCTGCCTCTGGTTTTTGGCAGATACCTTTACACCCAGAAAGCAGCAGATTGACCACATTCATAACACCGTTCGGAAGGTACTCCTTTAAACGTCTTCCTTTTGGCATTACAAGTGCACCAGAAATATTTCAGCGTAAAATGGCAGAAACTCTCTGGGGCCTTGAAGGTGTATCTGTTTATATGGATGACATACTGGTGTATGGAGACACTATGGAACAACATGACCAATGGCTTTCCAAAGTATTGGAGAGAATTAAGTCTGCAGGGTTAAAGTTAAACCGTGAAAAGTGTCTGCTGAGACAACAACAACTCCACTTCCTTGGTCATTTGATTGACAAATCAGGTGTGAGGCCCGATCCTGAAAAGGTTAGAGCAATCCGTGAGCTCTCAGCTCCACGAAATGTTCAGGAGCTAAAACGGGTACTTGGAATGTTTAATTATCTAGGCAAGTACATTCCAAATTTCTCAACAGAGGGCAAACCACTATACAAACTTTTGGACTTGTAAAAAATTAGAAAAATATCTGATTGGCCTTGAAAACTTCAAATTAGTGACAGACCACAAACCATTAGTACCTCTAATGAATAAGAAAGACTTGGACAATGTTCCTCTGCGATGTCAAAGACTACTTATGAGGCTAATGAGATTCAAACTAACTGCTGAGTATGCTCCAGGAAAGACTTTGTTGGTGGCTGATACCCTATCACGGAGCCCGATTGCATGCAATGGAAAAGAGCTTAACACACACTCAGATGTGGATTGTTACATTGCAGCTGTTGCTGAAGGCCTGCCTGCAACCCCTACAAAACTTGATGCTGTTAGGGCTGCTACAATGGCTGAAAATAACTTGCAAATTGTACTAAAATATATCCAGTCAGCATGGCCAAGTTATGTAGACAACATTCCAGTGGCTGTTCGACAGTTTTTCCCTTTCAGGAATGAGCTGTCTGAACACAACGGAATACTAACAAATGGAACTCGTATGTTGATTCCAGACGTCATGAGAGCAGATATTCTGGATAGAATACATGATGGGCATCAAGGTTTGACAAAGTGTAGAGAGCGTGCCAGTACATCTGTGTGGTGGCCAGGCATTTCAACTGAGATTAAACAAAATGTTCAGTCCTGTCTGATATTAATGGAGATGAAACATACTCAGAAAAAGGAACCTCTCATCTCAACCCCTCTTCCAGATAGGCCGTGGAAAAAGCTAGCTATTGATCTATGTGAGCATAACAAGCACACTTATCTTATTGTGTCAGATTATTTTTTTTTCGATTTCTTGAGATCCTCCACATGACATCACCAGTTCTGAAGTAATGCTAAAACTCAAAATACTGTTTGCCAGGTTTGGATGCCCCGATGAAGTAGTTTCAGATAATGGTCCTCAATTTGTGAGTGCAGAGTTTCATGAATTTGCAAAAGTATTTGATTTTGTACACATAACGTCTAGTCCACACCACCCTCAAGGAAACGGACATGCAGAGAGAGGAGTCCAGATCGCAAAGAAAATTCTACAACAGAAAGATCCTCTTTTGGCTCTGATGAGCTACAGGGCGACACCTTGCATCTCCACAGGTGTAAGCCCAGCTGAACTTCTTATGGGCAGAAAAATTAAAACAACACTCCCAATGCTGGAGACAAATCTTCAGCCTCAGTGGCCAAATTTAGAGGATGTAAAGAGAAAAGATTTCAAGGAAAAGCTAAAGCAATCTTTCTACTTTAATCGTCAGCATGGAGCTAAAACACTACCAGCGCTTCTGGTGATGCTGTGCTCACTAAGTTAGATCATCAAAAGTCCTGGGAGACACCTGCTGTGGTCACAGGCCAGAGTACAACTCCTCGATCGTTCACTATTGAAACAGATTAGGGGGCAACTCTGAAGAGTAACCGTCGCCACTTGCAACTCATCCCTCCGTCAGCTGGACAAACTCAAACTCTAGTTCAAAAGGTTCTAACATATGAACAGCAGCCTGAATCTACGTTGGACAAAACAGCAACTTTGTCTCAGTCCCCAAAGAGACAATCTGGACTGATGATGACTAGATCTGGCAGGATAAGCAAACAAGTTGACAGATTAGATTTGTGAAAAAAAAAAGTGGAAGAAAGAAGAGAATGTTCAGTAGAGTATAGCTACAATGTTCTTAATTGAGTTTATATTATCTAGTAAAAAAAAAATTAATGAAAAGTAGTTTTGTTTTGTTCAATGACATTGAAGATGGCTTAATACCAGTGAGAAATGTTAAAGAAATACTTAAGCTGTTGCTATATATTAAAAAAAAAAAAGTGGGGGAGATGTAATATATGTATAGCTGTAAGGATCCAAAATATCAGACCATAAGAACTGTTATGGAATTTCATGAGACAAGATGCAATGTTCCAATAGATTTTCTAATCTGAGAAGTGATGAAGAAACCAACTGTTCCACTGTTCTATTCAAATCACTGTTGACAATGCAATCACAGGCTGGAGAAACAGAGCTACTCAACAGCAGGGGGTAATGCGAAGAAGTCCCCCTTCTCCTTCCACTTAAACCCCCCTTCTTGACCCTTATGTTACCTTCTGATTAGAGCACATTTCACATAAAATGTTCAAGGTTTTAATATGGTGTATCTTGCATCACTATATTCATGTTTGGTATCATTTTAAATGTCTCTGTGTGATTGGTAAAGTGGTCTTAAGTTTACAGTAATATTTTACTGGTATATGTTGATTTGGTTTTTGACTTCTATAAGATCTTGATAAGATGCTCTCCCTCCTAAGAGATGGTTAAGTCCTCAAATTGACCAGGTCAGGGTTTCTGTGACACTTCTATTGTCTTGAATTTATGGCTGTTTGTTTTGACTTGAGTATATAAGGTAAGATGTGCTTTAGGACAGGGGGAGATCTTGTAAAAAGACACCCCATTGCAGCATCTCTGAGACTTATGCTGCAATGTATTTCTGTGGTCAGGTATGCATCTCTTAACTCTTTGATTTATCTTTGATAAATGGATGTTGTATTGTTACAGTCTCACCTCTGAATTGGCTTCCTGATGATTTATTATGTAATTGGCAGAATACAATTTTACCTGACAAATAAAATTTTAAGTTTTGATTAATTAGTTTTGCGAATTCATTGTATCCAGTAGATTATGTGGAGTCTCGTTACCCTTATCGTACGGCATAATCGAAATTGATTTAATTGGCGCATTTGATTATTCGTAGCCATTGCGTGCCGATAACATGTAGACCTTTTAATCATTCGACCACTGGGAATAGCAAGTT